GGGACATGGACTGGGCGCTGGGCCTGTGTGAAAGGCCGCCTTCTGCCCCCGAGTGCCTCGCCTGTAGACCCAAAGAAGCCACCATGGCAGCAGCCCCACGGATGTGCCCTGCTCTGCAGCCTCTGACGTCCCGACATGACGTGCGGAGTTACTCAGGAAAGTGGATCCTACTCATTGGTTACAAATATTGTTATTGAGTTAAACACACTGTTTAAAAGTCACCTATATAGGTGGCTGGCCTGGTGGTGCAGCAGTTAAGTTTGCACATTCTGCTTTGGGGGCCCAGGGTTTGATGGTTCGGATCCCTGGTGTGGACCTATGCACTGCTTGTCAAGCCATGCCATAGTGGCATCCCACATATAAAGTAGAGAAAGATGGGCACGTATGTCAGCTCAGGGCCAGTCTTCCTCAGCAAAAAGCGGAGGATTGGCAGCAGATGTTAGCTCAGGGCTAATCTTCCTCAAAAAAAAAAAAAAAAAATTCACCTATATAGCCCCAGCTTGCTATTTCCTCTCCCAGAATTCTTGTTTCTTTGCTGAAAACCCCCCATGCTCCCTGAAGACACTCCATCAGTCCCTTGATGCATTATCAGTCAGCTTGCCTATTTCCTGGTCCAGGAGGTGCAGAAGCAGCCTGACCAAATTTCTTGAGTAAAAAAATGTCACTCCCCAATATAAAATGTAGGAAGCTAGCCAGAGAAGGTGGGAAATGGGCGAAGCTCATACTCCATCACCCTCCCTCCCGCCCCCAGTCCTCTGTCCAACCCGAGGACCACACAGGAGTGAAGCAGGTCTGGTCCAGCCCCGGGCCGGTGGCTCAGAGGCAGCAGGTGCAGGAGAAAAAGGGCACCAAGTCCTCGACCTCAGACACCTGGGCACAATGGTGCAACCACAGGGCATAAATTAATGCAGGAATTATGTTCCAAAGAATCCAGAAAGCAGAGGATCAGGGGGATAGAAAGGGGAACGAGAGCAGAACTCCTCTTTGTTGGCAACTCCTGCTGTAGAAATGGACGGAATATTTAAGAGTCATGGGGGGAAAAGGAATCAGACAGGCAACTTGGCAGCTCCAGAGGGAAATTCTGGAGACTGCTTCCTGACAGCCAGGGAAGTGTGTGGCAGCTCTTTTTCTTTTAACTGAGATAAAATTAACATAAAATTTGTCACTTTAACGACTAGAAAGTCTACACTTCAGTGGTTTTAGTGCATTCCCAACGCTGTGCAACAGTCGGCACTACCTAATTCCAGAACATTCCCAGGATCCCCAAAGCAGCCCGGTATCGAGCAGCCCCACTCGCCCCCTGCAGCCCCTGTCAACCGCTGACCCACCGCCTGTGTCTACAGATGTCCCCGTTTCGGAGACTTCGCGTGAAGAGAACACGCGGCCCTCTGTGCCTGACTTCCAGCCTTAGCGTGGCCTTTCTGAGGCCATCCGCGCTGCAGGAGCACCAGTACTTCATTCCTTTTCATGGCTGAATCATGTTCTACTGCCGATTCCTGAACACACAACCGACACGTGTTCCTGAATGCCACCGGCACAGCGGAGAGCAAGAGCGATACTCAGCTCCTGTTGGTGCGGGCACTCCCCAAGAACAGACGGAATGGAATTGACAATATCTTCACGGTATCCTTCACAGTTTTAATTCTGACGATCCTGGATCAAGCTCTTTGATTGTAAATTCAGAGCACGTTCTGTGAATAACTTAGGAGTACCAAAATCTCACTTTTAAACCTAAGGAGCCAACCAAACCAGCTCGCTGCACAAAAAGCCTTTATTAACAAAGCCAGGGAAATCCTGGCCTGGGTTCAGAAAGCAGACTGGCGGGAAGAGGCAGGAAAAGAAACAAAGCATTCTGAATGGGGCTGTTCCTGCCTGAGAACCTGCTGCATCCCAGGTGACTTTGGAGCGTTCCCTGAAGCTGACAAGAAACGCTGCTTATGCCTAGGATTGATCATCAGCAATAATTAAAACCCTGTGGGGGGCAGAGCGGGTTTATCCTATTTACCAGTTCTCATGGGAAAGGTCAATCTGCCCGGCCCCTCGGATCCATTAAGCAAACCAGGGGTGTCGCCTGCATCCGCGAGATAAATGCTATGTGCCTTCCAATGGCCAGCGTTAGGCGTTCTTACTAAGCCAACAGGAAAAGGATGGAGGCAGCAGAGGTCTGCGAAGACAGGGCAGCCCCGTGATCAAGTAGGACATCTGGTGGCTGACCAAGAAGAGGAATAAATATCTTCACCCTTCAAATAGTCAGATTTCACATCATATAATACAATAGAAAATAATGAAGGGCTGGCCCGGTGGCACAGCGGTTAAGTTCCCACATTCTGCTTCGGCGGCCCGGGGTTCACTGGTTCAGATCCTGCGTGTGGACATGGCACCACTTGGCAAGCCATGCTGTGGTAGGTGTCCCACATATAAAGTCTAGGAAGATGAGCACGGATGTTAGCTCAGGGCCAGTCTTCCTCAGCAAAAAGAGGAGGACTGGCAGCAGTTAGCTCAGGGTTAATCTTCCTCAAAAAAAAAAAAAAGAAAGAAAGAAAGAAAATAACGATATACCATTTTTTGACCCTCAAATTAGCAAATGATTTTTTTAAAAAATCATAACACACGTTAGGGAGAATTCCAGGGATGGAGAATAAAGGTGATAAATTGGTACCACCTTTCTACAGGGTCAATGGGCTTTGCCATGAAAAACCTAATACCTAGAATTTCACATTCCTTTTTTCTTTTTTTTTTTTTTTGCAGATTAGCCCTGAGCTAACATCTGCTGCCAATCCTCCTCTTGTGCTGAGGAAGACTGGCCCTGAGCTAATATCCATGCCCATCTTCCCTAACTTTGTATGTGGGATGCCTACCACAGCATGGCTTGACAAGAGGTGCGCAGGTCCGCACCCCGGATCTGAAATGGTGAATCCCGGGCCACCGAAGCGGAACGTGCGCACTTAACCACAGTGCCACTGGGCCGGCCCCCCCAACTTATTTTTAATTTAGCTGGAAACATTCACAGAGCCAGCTAAAAAGCACAGGACTTGACGACACTGACAGCTTAGACACCAAAGAGAAGACAAGAACCTTCTGCGTCCCATACCCACAGAGGATGGGAAAGTCTGCACCCTCAGCCACTGTCACACCCGTATTCTGGCCAGCCCGCTGGCCCACCACCCAAAGAAGCTGTTTCGAATCTTCACGCTCTTCAGGGTCCCTTCCCCTCCTGCGCCCTTCACTCTCAGCAGATGACTCCACATTCCATGCGTCCCAGGAAGAAAAACAGAAGAGGGTGCCACATACGAACACCATCACCTTCAGGTGTCTCCTCCCGCCCTCTTTCAAACACATAACGTCTGCACACACTAGTCAGGTCACGGAGAGAAGATGTTCTCAGTCTGCTTTTACTGCTACATCACGCACTGTCCCACGGTCAAGGAAGAAAAGGACTGGAAAATCCATCAGGGTGCAACCAGCGGCTCAATCCCAACATTATTTCCAGTGAATCAGAAAAGTGATGGGAAAGAAGCCAGATTGTAGGGAATTGTGGGATAAAGAGGAGATGCCACTTCAAATTCTTTAAGAAAAGATAGGGAAATTACAACTAAATATCTGTATTTATTTTAAGTGGGGACAGCAAGCACAGATGACTTTATTTTTAATTACAGTACAATTAACATACAGTAAACCGTACATATTCAAAATATACAAGTTTTAACACGTGAACTAGCCCGTGAAACCACCACCACACTAAAGATAATAAACACAGGCACCTCCTCCAAAAGTTTCGCCCTCCCACCACTCCCTACCTCAGTGGGCGCACTAAGACGGAGGCCTGAGTTTGTCTGACTTCGCCTAGCTGTGAATTCATCCCTTCCCTTTCACCTTCACGGAACTGATGGGTTCAGACCCATGTTCTCCTTCCCAGAATATGGCAACAGCCCCAGCTCTGGTTTCATCCAGTGTGCGCCACCCACACTCCCTGATGCTGCCCTGTGTAGATGACGGCCACCCAGGCTCCTCGACGTGACCCACAGGGTCCTGCAGGGTCTGGATCCTGCCTACCCCTCAAGCCTTACTTCTTGCCACACTCCCACAGAACCAAGGGCCCTGCCAGGCATCAAGTGAGCCATGCTCCCCGATTCCTCTCCAGTGTCTTTTCATGAGCTGTTTTCTTGGTTTGGAACAAACAACCCCGGACCCTCCCCAGGCCCAGGAAACTCCAACTCACCTTCCAGAACCTACATCAGTGGTTCTCAACCAGGGGCAATTTTGCCCTTCAAGGGGCGTGTGGCAATGTCTGGAGACATTTTTGTCTGTCACAACTTGGGGGCGGGGGGAAGTGCTACTGACATCTAGTGAGTAGTGACCAGGGCTTCAGCCGAATGTCCTACAGTGCACAGGACGGCCCCACAACACAGAACTACCCACCCAAAACGCCAACAGCAAAGAGGCTGAGAAGCCCTCACCCAGACGGAAACCCGAGCACCCCGTTTTCCGTGAAGCCCCCACGATGAGCCTACGCTGTGCTGTCAGGTCTACCCCGACACTCCGGATACGCCTCTACCCTAGCATTTATCTCACTGCATGGTGAGTTCCGACTCACTTGTCTGTCTTCTCCATTAGATTGTAACTGCTTCAAAAGCAGAGACCATCTTTTTCATCTGAATATCTCCAGTGCGTAACAAAAGAGCTCTTCACTGTTTTGTCATTAAATTTTAAGTAACTTATATTTAATAATGAATAAACAAAAGAGAGACAAGAGAGAAAGCAATTCTTCTCTTGGCTCCACCACAAAAATCCTTTAAAAATTACACAAATAATGCCTGTTTGCTGGGAAGACACTAGGAAATACAGATAAGCAAGAAGAAAAACACAAATAGAAACATAATTTTTTGAATTGCCAGTGGCATCTAAAGATGGAAGAGGTAAACCCACGAAGCAAACCGCGAACTCTGAGAGGCAGCGCGAGGATTCTGCAGCGCGAGACCCCATCTGCGCCCCCCACTTACTTGAGAACAGCGATCTCCTGGACGGTGATGGCCCTTTTATCTTTGGTTCCCATGTAGGAGAAAATGTTTGGCTTGACTCTGGTAAGACAAAAACAGAACTAACTGAAGTCACATACCATTCAGAAATCATATTTCTCATGATTTAAGATTAAAAATAAAGATACTTAAACAACCGAATAAGAGAAACTTTATTTAAAAATGTACCCAGGAAAACACACATTAGTATGCAAGCTAAGAAAGGAGATGCTGCCTGAACAACGTCCTCCTCAGAAGGGCTTCACTCAGCACGTCTGTGGCTACTAGTGAACAGCATCCTGCTCAAAGGCCTGGCCAGCCAGTGACCAAAAGGGAAATAATGCGCTTCCTATCGGTCACATGCACTTCATCAGACTGCGTAACTGCGAAGGCGAAGGAAAACTCATCTTAGACAGATAACGTACCCCTTTGAAAATTTCCTATCTTCAATTTTAAAAGTTACTAATAATGTGAATTTTCCACAGATACAGGCTATTTCTTTGCATAAAAAGCCAAATGCTAAACAGGGATCTGAACAGCCTTGATATGAAGACAGGCGGAAGCTGGTTAACTAAGAAGTATTTCATAAAAGTTGCTCCACGTGAACGGGAGAAAAGCAGGACGGATTTCCTCCATTCTGAGCAACGGCCAACTCCAGACCTCAGAGGAGTCCCTCCCCAGCTGTCTGTGCTCCTGTCAGGAAAGGTTTATTCTCCAACTCAGGTGCAGGCAGGGCAGTGCCGACTCTCCCAGCGAGCCAGCAACTAGAGTAAAACAGAACGTTACTTAATAGGATCCTGTGCCCCATCGGCTGAACTGTGTTCCCCCCAAATTCCTCTGTGGACGCCCCGACCCCCAGTACCTCAGAATGTGCCTGCTGGAGATGGGGCCTTTAAAGAGGTGACTGAGTTAAAATGAGGTCATTAGGGTGGGCCCCTTCCAATCGGACTGGTGACCTAAATAAGAGAGAATGCGGACACAGCGAGACTCCAGGGGCACACACGCACAGAGAACAGGCCGCGGGAGGACACGGAGAGGTGGCGGCCATGTGCAAGCCAAGAAAGGGCCTCTGAAGAAACCAAACTTGCCCACCTGATCTCGGACTTCCAGCCTCCAGAACCGTGAGAAAACGAACTTCTGTTACTTAAGCCGCCCAGTCTGTGCTATCTTGTTACAGCAGCCCTAGCAAACGAGCACACTGCGTGCCGTGTTGAAACTGGGTCAAATATATATTAAAAAGCAAATTTCCACTGCATGCAGATTTGCTGTGGCGCCAGTGCTCATTTCTGAAAGAGAAATTCTCTGGCACCTGGCCCATCCTCAGAGCCCCCGTCTCTGCTGTAACTGCGTTCCTAGGACAAACCTGACTGGGTTTGGGTTTTCGGTCCAGTCAATCTCCAGGAATCATGAGCTCACAGTTTACTACAGCAAACCTCTGCGACGACATCAAAGTGCAGGCTTTCAGGGAAGAAGCCAGACGGACTCGTAACTCTCAACTATGTAAACTACTTATTTAGAGAATTTTCATCTTGAATCCTGGCAATATGCAAGGGGGTTAAAAAAATCGAATTCACCTATTGTCTAAGAAAATTCTAACTGGGAGGCACCGGTGCTATCTGCTTGCCTCTTCTACTCCTTCTTCACCAGCATAGAAAGAGGAAAGTAAGTTTCCGTGTTTTGATTTTGCATAGGCACAAGAACAAGGTACTAACCTTAAATATTTGGACAGAACATTAATAGCATCCATCGTGTCTTTGTTTTCCTTGTACAGTACAAAGTGGCAGTAACTTCCCCTAGATTTTGGCCAAGAATGTTTTCTTGGATCTTAAAAACAAAAAAATTAAACATTATATATACCATAATACAAGTCATCTGAGTTTTTTCTTATGAAAACCTACAAGCTCACTTTTTGCTAGAGAACCTCTGAGTGAGGAATCGAATCTGGTCTGATAAGAAATACAGGTTAAGTGGTTAGAGCTGTGTGGACTACAGGCCCGTCCATACTTCAAATCAAAAGCTGAAATGCAGGTGATCTGACAAACGACTAAGACTAACCAGCAATCCCCACACAGAGAAACACAGAGGGTCCACCACAACCCAGTGGCGTTACTTTAGGCGCGTCCAACAGGTGGGCTGATGGCTAGAGGGAAACAGCAGTCACGTGGGAATCCACCGGCCCTGCCTCGTGTCCCCGTCAGGCGTCCGTGCACACCGGCTGGATGCCTCCGCGGGAGGGGGCGACGCTGGTGATGAGCTGCCTCAGCGACACTTTGAGAATTTCCAAAGGCCACTTCCATCACAAAGGTGCAGCCAGTACCAGACGCTTTACAGACATCCACCCGACAGAGAAAGCAGCTGGCATTCGAGACCTGACTGTCATTCTTGGGGAAAAGGAAACTGGAAAAGTTAAGCCGGGTTAAATGTTAACTTCCGAGCTGTTACTTCCATCGCTCAACTTGTGGCAAACTGACAAATATTTCAAGACTTTGGAGAAGCTGGTTTTTAAAACTGTTCTTTTAAATGAACATTTTAATTATGCTATAATCTAGAAACATATATTTAAACAATATTAAGATTTAGATTTAAGTGGCCTGAAAAGGTGTTTTGAAAAAAAATCAAACATTTTGACAAAAAATAAGCCACAACTGCACTTGACAGACGCTGCCCAGGGATACCCGTGACTCTTGTAGGACACAGCTGCAGCGGCTACTTGTTATCGCATCCACTCGATTTCTGGAACTCCACGAAAGAAAGGCTGTGAAAAAATATGTCATACGAACCCTAGAAAAGAGTCTTCTTCTCAAAATGTTTCTTTGGCCCTACAATAATCCCTCTGCATGAACTCATGAATCCTTCATCATCGGAGATAGAAGAAACTTCCCATCCTCAAGCTACCTGGACACCCAGCTTGGTCAAGGTGTCCCTACAGCTTGACGCACTGATTTAAGCTACAGTGGAAAACAGACAAGTCGAGAAACCACCCGGGAAACAGCCACAGCGTGCACGCTTAGCGAATCGCTTTCCTTCCTGATAAACGTGAACGGGAGTCTTTTCCGTCTTGGAGAGAAAAGCACTACAAGTACTTCTCTGGCTCCTTGTGAATTCCTCACAACTCATCCTCAGGAAACGGAACAGGAATATTATCTCTGGTTTCCTCCCAGCTCACCAGAGTTAAGCAACGCTGTCTGCACTCAGCACTCGTGACAAAAATCATTGGCATTTCATTCGATCTGCATGAGACGCCAACCGCTCTTACCTGCTGCAGTGCTGACCTCTGTCCAAATGCACAGCATAAAGAGCACAAGAGAGCAACGTTTAATTACAGTAACAGTAAAGTGCTTTCGAGGGGAACATGCAAATGGTGGCATGGCGAGTTTCTGCCGGGGGCTTCCACAGCGCCCGGCAGACTCGTGGTGGGTGCACAGCCATGGAGACACGGACAGTGGAATGTCGCAGAGGCGAACGGAGACTAGGAAAAAGACTCACCTACAGGCACAGCCTCCCTGTCCCATCCCTGCCCAGCAGCTCGTCAGTGCACCCTCAAAGCTGCACCCTGTGTCCCCAGGGCATGGAGCGAAAGGTTCAGACCGGATGCAAAATGCTCCCTTATCCAGATATTTGTTTTCTTAAATATGGGAGGACACATACCAAAATGCTATTTGTGATTATCTTTTGGTGGTGAGATTGCAAGTAATCACTGTTTTACTTTGTGCTTTTCTGTGTTTTACGAGTTTCCTGCACTGAGTTATAAAGACTTTTTATTTGAAAAAAGTTGAAAAATTATTAGGAAAAACAGTTCTCAAACTGATAGACTAAAAGAGATTTAAGAGACTTATCCATTGAACGCAACCTTCTGGCCTTGCCTGTACCATCATGTGAACAAGGCACTGTACGTAAAAGACACTCCGGGAAAGTGAGTATGCACTGGGCATTAGAAAGAAATTAGGACTGATTTTGTTGGATGTACTAATAGTTTCAGGTTTTAGTCTTTATCTGTCAGACACATACTCAAGTATTTACGAGTAAAATGAAGTGCTACATAGAATTTTCTTTAAAATACTCCAAGAAAAAAAAGTGGGAGGAAGAGACCAAACAAAAACAACAGAATGTTAAACATCTCGAAGATGATTGACAGGTGCCCCAGGACTCAATGTATGATTTTCCTCATTGGTGTCCACGTCTGAACATGTCCATAAGGAAAAGTCAAAAAAAAATACATGTGATAAAGTTGATGAAGTGTAGCTATATTTTTCCTTAACTATCTCTTCACTAAACTCACAATTAACTATAAAGGCAAGAAATAAATGAAGCCACAAGACTGAGAAACCAAATGCTGTATACTTTGAGAGAAACCATGACAACCGAGAATGTCTTGGCTCACGAGCATGCATCTTTGATCAGCAAGTCCAAGCACTGAGCATGCACACAGTTCTCTCCTTTGCAAAGGCCAGATACGAGGGTTCTTTCCTATGTACACTTGCTACACAAAATAGTGAGCATACGCATGGATCACCTGGGAATATTCTGAACAATGGAAAATCAACGGGTCTCAACTTATTTTGGGCAATTTGTTTGACTTTATAAAACTCTAAATCCTTAGAATGCTAATAAGTAGCATACACATAGCTTTACAATTTAAGTGAATTTAAAATAACTTTCAGACATTTTGAGACACTGATTTAAAGTGCGAACGCCAAGACTTCTCAGGCTGAGGTAAGAGGAAGCAACCTTCCGATGGTCTGATGTGGCGGCTCCACTCTAGGAGCAATAGAAACCAGACAAAAGGAGGAATCACGTTCAGGAGACCCATGTATGGAGCACAGAGGTCCTCATGAATAAGGAAGGAAAAATGTTTGTGGCCCGAGAAAGATGACAGGATGGCGTAGCATGCAGAACATTCTTTCCTTCCTATTCAAGGCCATTTCCAGCGCTGCACCCCTGCACACTGCCCTTCGGCTTCATCAGGATCCTGCTCCATCCGTTATCGCTCTCCCAGAATTTCCACCCTCGCTCGCCCTGGCTCTTTCCCTTCAGTCTACAACCTGCTCAGGGCGCTTCCATTTTCAAGTCAAACCTGTGTCTCCCTCTCCTCAACCTGGTTCCTCTCCCTTCTTCCCCTCTTTACAGCTTAGCTGAAAAAGCAGCCTGTATTTACTGCCTGCCGTCTCAACCTACTGTGTAAACCGGTTTCTCCCTCTGCTCCAGTAAAACTGCTCTGGCAAAGACACCAGCGACGCCCATGTCGCTAAAAATCGACCGACGTGTTTCAGCGTCCTCATCTTGCTGACCCATCTGTAATGTCTTTCCCTGCTAACCACTCTGATTATTGGCAGTCTCTCTCCCTGTGGATTCCGTAACACTGGGCTCTCCCGGAGTTTCCTTTGGACGCGCCTGGCTCCTCCTGAGTCTCTGTGGACTCCTAGATCCAGGTATGCCCCTGGGAACCGCTCATGCCAAAAAGTATGGACGTCGTCTACATATCACATGGCAGAATGATTTTTTGTACTTAAGTCTCTAAAAAGAAGTTCTTAGAGGCATTTGGAATGTACACTATCTATTTCAAAATGCTAAGTTAATTTACCTGATTACACAGTTTATAATAACCACGTGACATTTTCAGAAAAATACCCTACGTATGCTTTGAGGTAAATCAACATGGCCTGTCCATCAGACCGGAACAACACAACATCCACACTGAGACAGCCGGTACCTTGTGGTGTGTGGGCACCATGATTCAGAATCCACCGTGCCTACGTTTTAGGACGGATGGCTCTACTGGAGAAAAGTTTAGCTTAAGAACATTGCAAAATTGCTGGATAATGCATGAGCCACCAGTAACAATTTCTATCAGAGCTTGGTAGTAAAGGAGCTCTAAAAACATCACAGACTTGGCTTTGCAATGAAGCTTTAAAAGCGAATTCATTCAGGTGCTCGGCAAGGTGGCCGAGGAGGACCAGCTGTCATTGGTACTGGGTTCTCCTCACGGGGGCACGAACAACAGTCTCTGGGTACCAGCCTTCCCTACTTTTCCAGTGCTGTTTGCTTTAAGCCACTCTCAGCTGGCGGGTGGGGAGCGCGATCGGCAGATGGACGCAGGCTCTGGGTCCGTGAGGGGGACGGAGCAGCTCAGATGGCAGACCTCTAGTCCACCTGAGTAATCGCCACAACAGCTCAAGCCCCTGAGGGTCAGACCTCTGTGCAAGTGTTGATCCAATCTGACCTGCCTGCCTGCTTCTTTTTAAAGTGAGAAATTCCTAATTACTGAAGACGTGTAAAGGGAAACGGAGAGGGGTGGTTCACGTCACACAGAGCCAGCATCCCACTTGGAAAATCTTAAGGAAATTTTTTATTTGGAAAAAAAGAAAGGGGGGTGTGGCACAAGCACAGAAAATGTGGATAAAGGCAGAATGCGAGAGACCTGGCGCCACTCACTTGAGGGGAAGGGGTGGGAGGCCGCGCGATGGCCCCCCTGCCTGGCAATGCCCTAAGGCCCCTCCCCAGAGGTCACAGAGCCTGGCCTCCTCTGAGAAAGCAGCACCGTTAACCGGAAGCAACCAGACAAAGAAAGAGAGGTTCTGCCTCTTCCAGCCTGCAACCTCATGACCACACTCAGCAGATCACAACCCTGCCTCCTCCTCTCGCCTTTGCAAGCGGGCAGCTGACCCACGTGGACTGCCCCTCTACAAGGAATGTCCCCGGCAGCCCATCTCACCCTGGGTTCCTTGAGAGTTGGGACTGAGTGCGCACAGGCACCTGTGCTAGGTGGCGGGTTACCTGCTCTCCTCCACATCTATGACAGCTACTAGCTGCGTGCCAATCCAGGGAGAACGGGGAAAACAGGCACCTGAATCACTTTCCACTGGGCTTAACTTCCTGGAACAACCCCAGCCAAAGGCAGGCTGGGAAGGCAATATTTCACGCTGTGGCTCCGACATCAAAGAAACACGTAGTAACCACGCCATCAGTCTGTGGATTGAGAACCACCCTCAGTAGTTCGAAAGTACATCATCCCACCTTTCCATCTGGTATCCACCGAGAAGTGGCCTTCCTCTCCACCTTCTCCTCCTCTGCTCAAGGTTTCTCATTTCCGTGTCACTATCCAGATTTCATTTTTTTTTTTTTTGAGGAAGATTAGCCCTGAGCTAACACCTGCTGCCAATCCTCCTCTTTTTGCTGAGGAAGACTGGCCCTGAGCTAACATCCATGCCCATCTTCCTCTACCTTTTTTTAATATGCGGGATGCCTGCCACAGCATGGCTTGCCAAGCGGTGCCATGTCGCACCCAGGATCCGAACCGGCAAACCCCGGGCTGCCGAAGCGGAATGTGTGAACTTAACTGCTGCACCACCGGGCCGGCCCCTATCCAGGCTTCTTTATTTGACTACATTATTTTCTCAGCACAGCTCAATCTTCTTTCTACTCCCATTTTCCTTCTACCCTCTCATGTCGCCAGAAGCACAGTTATACACAACTAAGGCTTCTTCCGCTCACAGCCCTGACCTGAGAGAATTCTGACCAAGCGCCAATGATTTCAATGGTCTTTTGTTATTCAGTCTTGGAGTTTTGCTCTAAGAAATAGATCTAGAAATAACTCCTCACCAACAGGGGCCATCACTGGCAGGGGAGGAGGATGGGGAAATAACTTTTTCTGACTACAATTTTCATTAAAATTTTATCTGCTGATTTGACAGGTAAAAGGAGAAAAATCACCCAATTTTTCTTAAGGTTATATGCAAATCCAAATTTTCATGGCTGTAGAAAACATATCAGAACATAAACAGCAGAGAGATTCACTGACAACACACCCATTTCAAATGAATGATACACAACGAAGGAAGGATGCACTGGGCGAAGGGGCGCTGCTTTATATTCCGTGTTTCAGGCGTGAGTGAAGAAGATACTCACAGCTGGAAACAGCAGCTCTTTCAGTATAGACACTTTGCAGAAAATATGCCACTGGGACGGCTGACGAGCATTTCTTGTTCATCTGAAAGCTTTCTGTCCTCCATTAGGAACCGAGAATGAGCAATATCCTTCCATTTCCTCCCTCAATTGCCACTCAGCCTGCTCTGCTCTTCAGGGAACGTATCGAATTCCTAAGACTCTTTCAGGCATCACCATAATCTCAGCAAATCTTTACTCACATAAAAGGCCTAACGCCCCCGTGCCAGACAGACAGGCTACAGGATTGCTGTGACATCTGAAATGATATGATTCCCCTCCTTGAAGGACTGACATGATCAATATCCTTGTCTGAACAACAGCAACACAGCCCTTGAACATGACCGGGCAGGAGATGGGAGCGGGATGTGCCGTGTGACCCCTGAGCAGAGAGGCCAGTCCTCCCACACTTACTTGCCAGAGCCTTCCTTCCAGCTGTGTGGTAGGCTACGATATACTTCTTCCCCTCTCTGTCCTCTGTTTTTGTCTCTAATCCTGGAAACAGAGATTTAATTGCTTGATGGATGACGGTTCTTTTCTCTTTGGTGTCCTCAATAACCTAATAAAAACACAGATAATGATACTACTAATTTAAAAAACATTAAATAGGGCGATAATACCAACAAGTTAGTAAAAACACTACTCATCTTCTTAACTATGCAAAGTAACATAAATACACGGGTACGACTTCCAAAATCTTTGAGAGCTTCCCAATACTGTGACTCCTAAGAGCCTGCTTACGGAGCACGTCCACCTGCCGGGCACTGTACCGAGCACCTCACAGCCGTCGTCTTATTTAATCCCCATCCTCTCCCTCTCACACCACTGGCGTACTTACTTAGAAATGAGGAAAATGAGGCTGAGAGAAGCTAAGGAACGGGTCTAAGGTCTAAGGTAGCCGGATGGAAGCAGAGCCAGATCTGAAACCCAGGCTGTTGGGCTCCAGACCCACTCATCCCAGACGCTCCCTCTCAGGGACTCTGCCGGACAAACACCTCAGGACTCAAAGACGGAAATGCAGGCAAGCCGGGCCCTCTGGGATGTCAGAGACTCTGCTCCCCCCAGCAGTCTAATCTACAGCAGCCTCATAACGAATCCTAGTCTATACGGAACTATTTCACAGTGACATTATAGAAAAATCAACATCACGAAAACATAAACTTATTACGTGACTGTTTTTCCAATTCTGAATTGGTCTTACACTAAGAAATACATTTCACATCTGGATTTAATAGCCAGAAATATGTATGTGAACATGCCTAATTAAAAGTCTAAAAAAAATTTACAAACAGTACTTATCTTTTCTATGTGCAATGCATTACTTTCTATTTTATTTTATTACACTAAAAAAATATTAGTTAAGATCCACTAGGGGCCAGCCTGGTGGCTCAGTGGTTAAGTTTGCACGTTCCACTTTGATGGCCTGAGGTATGCTGGTTCGGATCCCGGGTGTGGACATGGCACCACTTGGCAAGCCATACTGTGGCAGGCGTCCCACATATAAAGTAGAGGAAGATGGGCACGGATGTTACCTCAGGGCCAGTCTTCCTCAGCAAAAAGAGGAGGATTGGTAGCAGATGCTAGCTCAGGGCTAATCTTCCTCAAAAAAAAAAAAAAGATCCACTAAATTGATTTCATGACCCACTGATGGGCTGCAACCTGCAAGCTGAAAAACGCTGATATATTACAACTACCACTAACGAAACTTAACACTATTTTAGCAAAATAAAAAATGTGAATGAAAACAAAGTACGTTATAATTATAGATAAGTGACATTTTCATATCAAAGGGTAAGTCTAGATCTGGAATTTACTGAGACCACTGAGTTGGAACCACAGTTTGTGCGTGAGTGAATGCAGATTTGGACCTCACAAATTCAGAAAGTCTGTGGTCCTTATTTTACAGACGAGGAAACTTGCCCATGGTTTAGGCTTTGAAAAGTAAAAACTTTCAATCGCTGGCATAACTACGGTCTTTAAGATGATAGCAAGTCCTGCCATCTATGTAGTTTTAATATAAATTATGGGGCTAAGATATACCACCATACTGCACAAGCAAGGGAAACCTGGACCACTCTCCTGGACTGCTCTCAAAACCAATTCTCAGGAATTTCCTCCTTGGCATAGCTGAAAACTTTGTCTATGGGTAAATTCAGTAATTGAGGATTCCTAGAATTGTAACATTACCCACTTCTGGGAAGTTTGGTGGTGGAAGAGGAGATGAGGATTGGAGGCAGATAACGAATTCTGAAAAGTTACAGTAAACTCCTATTAACTGGGAGCAATGGAAGGGGGAATTTCAGACAACCCCAAATTCAGTAGGTTGTTAAAAGATGGTACAAAATTAATTTAACACAAACTTAAAATGCTAAAAATCCTGTGCTACAAGATTCTTAAAATCTTGTAACACATTTGCTTTGCTGTAGACATCACCCAGAGCTGCTCTGTCGCATACGGGAGCCATTAACAGTGGGCATGTGGCTAGTCTGAACTGAGATGTGCTATTAGCGTAAAGTAACACCAGACTCTGAAAACTCAGGAGGAAAAAAAAAGAATGTAAAAGATTTCATTAGTAATTTTTAAAATACTGATTACACAGTGAAATGATATTTTGAATGTATTAGGGAAACTAAAACATATTGTTAAAAATCAATTTCATCTGCTTCTCTTTATTTTTAAATTTTTAGAAGATTTAAAATGAAAAAGATTGGCTCAGACTATAATTCTGTTGGACAGCACTAATTGAGAAGAATAAAATTTTCATGCCAGAAAGATTTTTAAAAGGCATTTACTCTTCTACTTAGTAGCTGAGTCCTCCTTTTTCTGAATAGCACGAGTGGACTCAAGTGGAGCAAGGAAACGCTCCCTTACCTCCTCCCCCCGGTCCCTCCCCCTCCCAGAGCCCCACTCGAGATGGAGAGGCTGCTGGAGACAGAGCCGGGGCCTCCCTATCAGGGCCACACAGCCGAGTGCCAGGAGGTCTAGCCCTTAGCAGTAGATACCATGTGATATAACTGTCATTCTGTGGTTCCAAACAACAGATTTCTTTGCTGATCTGTGGTCATATAAAAATTTTTTAAAACAAAACATAACTTTTTTGTGCCAGTTTATCTGCATACCGGTTATCCGCCACAGATAGAAACATTTTTAGTATAATGCTCTTTTAGATCAAACAGAGAAAAGTCACCCTTTTGTTAACTGCTGTAATTTTTCCAATAGACACGTATTAACATTCACCCAAAAAGAAGCAGTCACACTCTAGAAAATCTTTTCACATGTTTTTTTGCTACTATTTACCTCGATGGCAACACTGGTTTCCTTATTTTTAAAAAGCTGGAGCTCTTCTAAACGCTGCTTTTCTTCGGCTGTCAAAACCGTCAACATATCTTCCGAAGGAGCCTTTAAAATACCCACGAGAAGCCTGGTGAGTCTCACACAGAATGCAAGGCTGTTTACAGCTCTATATTGCTACGACCTCTAGGAAATGCTATTTGTATACAGAAGGTGACTTCTGCTGGAAAGCTGCTCCTACCTCTTCATCCACTGGGACAGACAAGTCATCCAAATGGCTGACACGCCCATCTTTCCCTATTTCATGAACAACGAAGTCGGAGTACCTGATGAAAAGAAAACACACAACTTCAGAGCATCAGCATTTGGTTTCCTATTAATTTTAGGAGAAAGTTGATTAACAGTAAGATTTACTGTTGTACAAGACATGGATTTTTAAAAAATTTTCATATAGAAGTGTGGTTATGGGGGCCGGCCTGGTGGCACAGCGGTTAAGTTCACACGTCCCGCTTCTCGTTGGCCTGGGGTTCACTGGTTTGGATCCCAGGTGCGGACATGGCTCTGCTTGGCAGGCCATGCTATGGTAGGCGTCCCACGTATAAAGTAAAGGAAGATGGGCAGGGATGTTAGCTCAAGGCCAGTCTTCCTCAGCGAAAAGAGGAGGACTGGCAGTAGTTAGCTCAGGGCTAATCTTCCTCAAAAAAAAAAATATATATAGTTATGTTTTTGGTTTCTTAATGAATTCTGAGCCGCACCCTGGGCTTTGTATCAGGATGTAAAGAAAAGACCCTCCTAATTACTCTTCCAGAGAAACGCATAAATCAAAGCTTACTGATGTTACCCGATGATTACACAGACAGTCCATAGTACAGCGAATCATAAAATACTGTAAATGGTTAATGAAGTCACAGCCCAGTAAATCTACTATGAACCACCCTGAAACTTACCTTTATGCTAAATACTCTATATGCATTATTTAAAATCCTCTCAACAACCCCAAGGTGGTATTAGGACCCATTTTTGGGATGAGGATACTGAGGCTCAGAGGAGTCAAGTAACTATAAAGTGGCTGAACTGGATTCACACCCAGATCCATCAGGCTCCAAGGACCACCTCCTTCCTCCTGTAGATGTGGCACATTCAGGTGAAAGAGTTTAAGATTTTAAGACCAATTCATAAAAAATCTGAAACCATTTAAAATGGTTTATTTGAAAGGAATGAACAGCACCCATTCACATATTAACAATGCATGCCACTGGAAAATTATTTTTATTTACTCCTTTTATCTTTAAATGGTCTCATTTACCCATTTCAGCAGCTCTCTTTCCTCCTATTCATTTTTGACCATCAGTGCAAACAATCCTTGGGGATAGGGAGCTAAATGGAAGAATACATTGCTGATTTCTTTCTAAAGAAAAGAACTAATAGAACTAAAATAAATTTATACATAAACTAAACCTACCTTTCTTTTAAGATCCCCGAGAATCCTTGGTGGGAACTTACAAACTTGGTGATGCCTACATCAAGTTCGGTCAGTCCATGCTTCATCATGTCTGCAAAGCTCTCCGCTTCCTCCTCCTCGTCCCCCTCCTCTGAAAGGTCATCTTCCTCCTCCTCCTCCTCCTCTTCCAACCGAGCATCAGAATTCTCTGTACCCTCTCCCGCACTTACAGCACCAGGTGGCCCGAGCACATTCTCACCGCTGGAGGGAGAGGCATTCTCCAGCCCGGCTCGGCCTGTGGTCAGACAGCATTCCGACACCTTCTGTCTTTTTGCCTCCTCAGCTGGCGCCACACTGTCATTGTCTTCGACAGCCAGGGACCCACGCTTCAGTGACACACCAGTCATTTCTGTCATCTCCATTTTTAAGGCTCCAAGAAAACATTTAAGAGAACCTTTTGGGAAGGAAGAGAGAGTAGGAAGTGACAATGGCTTGTTTCAGCAAACAGAGCTAACTTCGTTCCTAGGGGCCTGAAAATCATTCATTAAAATAATTCTTCCTGCTGTTGGTGTGTAGCTTGGTGGGACAGAGCAACAGCACAACACTTCTGTGTGGAACTCGACAGTGTGCATCAAAACCCTTAAAATATGTATTTCCTCTGACCCAGAAACACGACCTTCAGGGAGGATCTTAAGAAAACAATTACGAAAGAGCTTAACGTTTTAGCTGTAATGATACTTACACCTCTGGGCTTTAGATTAGAAAAAATTAAGAACAATGACGCCTGGGTCCATAAACCACACAGTATGTAGAAACAATGTGAATTAAATCTGGGAAAGGTGGTTACTTCTAAGGCAGGATGGAGGTGGCTGGGAGATGTGCTGTTTTTACCGAACACCACAGTTGTATCACCTGAACTTTGTTTCACGTACATTATTATCCTTCTGAAAAAGTGATTAAATAAAAATAGTGTATAAATACATTTACTGACATGAAAGCATACTCATATCATACCATACTAAGAAAGAACAGCAAGGGGAGGGGGAGTTGTTCAATGGGGGAAGGGTCTCAGTTCTGCAAGGTGAAAGGACCCTGGAGACGGGCTCCACGAGGCTGCGAATGAACCCGACACTCCTGGAGACGGGCTCCACGAGGCTGTGAATGAACCCGACACTCCTGGAGACGGGCTCCACGAGGCTGTGAATGAACTCGACACTCCCGGACTGGACACCTATAAATGGTTAAGACGTTATGCGCTATGTGTATTTTGCCACAACTTAACAAACACAGATTATAATTTAACTGGCCCATACTCAAGGTACTGAGCTAGTCTCAGAAGGCACACATACCTCCCAGTACACAGCAGCCTGACAGAGGGCCACAGGTGACAATCAAGATCAATACATTTATCTGAGACCAAGAGTGCCTAATTTCATCTTATTTGAGGCTCTTGGTGAAATAAGGATAAAAATTTTTCCATAATAATTATATGGGGAGATGCTAAAATTAACGTACTAATGTACTTAGTAAACATATTCATAAAGAACATCAATGAGCAGAGAGTTAATATTCTAGTTCTCCAAAGCTTGGATAACAAGAAACCCACCTACAGAAGCATCTATCGCAGGAGAATAATAATGATGAACTAAATTTTGAGAATCCATATTTGATCCTGCCTCATAGTCAAAAATCAAGAATGGAAAGCAAAGAAAAAGACAAATACATGCAAAAAGCGAAAGAAAAAAGGATCATGATACCTACAAAAAAACAGGGAAAAGGTACAGAAAAATGTCAGTAAAAACAATTTCCTTTGAAAGACAAAAAATTAAATAAAGAGAACAGAAGAAACCAAGAAACTGAAACAGAAACACACAACTAGTTACATAAAATTATCTCCAATTCAAATAGGAAAGCATTTATTCTTTATTTGTTCTAAGCGAGGAACAGTAAAAAAGAATGCTGCTTTATGCAATGCTGATGCTACTTCATTTTCTCTTGACATCAAGAAAGCTGCCCTCTCGGAGCCTACACACCAGTGAGGCAGACAGAAAGGGCCCCGGGCTCACCTGGGGATATAGGAACAAAAGGAGACCTCACAGGGCGTTGGTGGCGAGGGTGTCAGAAGACATCCTTCCTATGAAGACCAGAAATGAACACCGGAGCCGAGTTTTGAGGAATGAATAAGAATAAGGTCGTGGAAAAAGGGGAGGTGGCTGTTTGGGGGCGGTGGACCAACCTGTGCAAAGACACGGAGGATGGGAGCGCACAGAGTGCTGGAAGAACCCCAAGGACTCAGCACGCATTGAGGAGGGTAAAACACACAAGGAGAGAGCCGGGAGTTAAAGCTAGGGTGTGGGCGGAGGCCACACCAGGCGAGATGGAGCGAATTACATCCTCAAAACCAAACACCGCTCGATTGGTGAGTCAGATTTTGTGGCAGCCCTCTGAAGAGCAATGGAGGTCAGGGTGGAAGACGGGGCAGGGGGACTGCTGTCGTTGAGGCAGGAAATCAGTGCAATCTCATCCAGGCGGAGGCAAGGGCGGCAGAAAGGAGGGGAGGAGTCAGGGACATTTAGGAGTGGTGGGGACAGGACTGGGTGACAAACGGGCGAGGAAAGGGGAAACACTCCAGGATGACTCAGGTTTTCTGCCTTGGGGACCCCAGGAAGAGGAGACGATGGTGGGAGAAGACAAGCCCACTTGATAGGCCTGTGGTGCTGTAAGTGCCCGGGGCACATCCTGCATCCAGTCACTACACTGTGTCACACACACTGTCACCTAAAACCCACAAGGGCTCCCCAATGCCGATATGACGTTCCCAGCTGGCACCACAGGAGCCTCCAGGAGACCCTGCTGCCCTTCAGAGGCCTGGACTCTCAGCGTCAGGGAAGCACGGCCAGGAACAGCCGCTTCGGCCCTGGGCTCAGGGCTTCCTGGTCGGCGGGACGCCCCTCTCCTGCCCAGAGTGCCGAGAACTCAGCAGGCTCCTCCTAACAACTTCACAGCCACAGGCCTTCGTGCAAACACCGATCGTTTCCTTCGCAGAAATGTCGGCTTCATCCTGCTCTGGCGCTGTCCATCATCCAGCACCACGTACCATTATCTTCCACACGCCTCCAACCACTCAGGCCCAGCCCAGGCCGGGGCCCATTCCCAGACTGCCTGCCCACGCGCTCTCTGATGGCAGGCCCTGCACACGCACCGCAGGTCACCTTCAAGACTCCTCCGCAGGCCACGAGCCCAACTCCCGTGCCTCCCTCTGTTAACTCCCGCTCTTCCCGCTTGGCCTCCCATGTGGGTAGCTGAGTACCGCGCTTCTCCCCACCACCTTCTAGCTGTGTAACTGGTCCCAGGAAACCACTAATGTCGCCAAGCCCCCGTTCTTCGGTTGTAAACCAGGAATGATACGTGCTTCGCAGGATGCTGTGAAGATGAAACATGACACTGAACACAGAGCCGCGACCCATAGCAGGAGCCAAGCAGACGCCAGTGCCCGTTCCTCTCTCAAGAAGGCTGCAGACCCCGAGGATATCACGTGCACGCCAGAGAATCCAGGGTGGTGGAACAGGTGGCAACAGACATTCTGTAGACTTCTGGAAGAAGGTGCTGAAGCCGTTCCCCGTTTACAGAGATCAAACACACAGTAAGTAGCAAAGCCCTAAGGAAACGCTGGACCTGGACAAGGACCACCAACGGTCACTAACATGCAAAAAAGAGACCACCACACACTGCGTGCTCCTGAAAGTACGCGCTGTTATTTACGAAGTACTCTTACTGACGGAAACTCTGTGCCTAACTACTAGTGTAGGTGGCACCCAGGGACAGAAGATGTTCATCACCGCAAGGAAGCAATCAGCAAAATCCTGACCATGGGAAACTCTGCAAGGACAAGGACACCCCGTTCCTCGTTCCTCCAACTAATAAACAGCAAGGGCACAAAGGAAGGGGGAAGTTACATATAAACCTACAAAGAAAGGCAATGGGTGGATCCTGATTCAAAGAAATCAACGGTTAAAAAAAGCACTTACTGGCACAACAGTTAAGTGCACACGTTCTACTTCTGCGACCCAGGGTTCATCTGTTTGGATCCCGGGTGTGGACATGGCACCGCTTGTCAAGCCATGCTGTGGTAGGTGTCCCACATATAAAATAGAGGAAGATGGGCATGGATGTTAGCTCAGCGCCAGTCTTCCTCAGCAAAAAGAGGAGGATTAGCAGCAGATGCTAGCTCAGGGCTAATCTTTCTCCAAAAAAAAAAAAATTAAAAAAGAGGGCACTTATGGGGGCTGGCCTGGTGGCACAGTGGTTAAGTTTGCGTGCTCTACTTCAGCAGCCCAGGGGTTTGTCATTTCAGATCCTGGGTGTGGATCTACACACCTCTTTATCACCATGCTCTGGTGGCATCCCACATACAAAAAACAGAGGAAGACTGGCATGGATGTTAGCTCAGGGCCAATCTTCCTCACCAAAAAAAGAAAGAAAGAAAGAAAAAGAAAAAAAGTGCTTATGAGGCAATCAGGCGTACTAAAACTGTGGGGACATCTGATGACATTAAGGTACACTGTCAACTTTTTAAGATGCAATAATACTATTGTGGTTACATTTAGAAATAGAATCCTTATGTTTTAGAGACACAAACCAAAATATTTACAGTTGAAAAGATAGTCTGGAATTTGCTTCAAAATACCTTACCAGCAGTGAATGGAAGTGGAGTAGGTGCAGATGTAAGACAAGGCTGGCCGTCCGTTGGTCATTGCTGAAACTGGGTGATGGGGATAAGGGGAGATCACATCACATCACTCTCTCTACTTTGCATGTCTGAAATTTTTTATCATAAAAATAAAAGCTCAAAGTACAAAAAGATACATAAACTATGCTACCCTGAGCACACTGCCCGTCTTTTCAGTTCTGCTCCCTCTGCCATCGCCTGTCTGCAAACACATCGAGACATCCAGTCCCAAGACACAGCCTCTTCCATCTTCCCTTCTTCTAGCACCCCAGACCTCAACCACTCCTAGCCGCCGCTCAACACTCTCGCTCACTAGCCCTTCTCCAGGATCCCTGCGAAACCTCAACCAAGGACCAACTCTGCTGTCGATGACGTCTGTGCTCCTGGTGCTGCTGGAGAAAACCTCACTGGGTAAGGGCGCTCCTCTCTCATGACAGCCCTCCACGCCGCCTGCCCATCGCTGGTCATGCGGTCTTCCCCAAGTCTTAGCTGCTGTTCACAAAGAAGATAGGGACCTCTGGCAGACACACGTCCTTAGCATATTCACAAGATCGCTTATTATGACCATCCCCACAACAGGGCAACCCTCCTAAGGGACCCCCACACTCACTTTAACCCTCACTCGCTCCTCAGCACTGCGGAGTGCACTCCCTTGCTGCACTCACCAGGCACCCCCTGCCAGGCGCCACCCCAGGACCGAGACATGACACTGCAGTGAACCGAATAATTGCCCCGCCAGCGTGGGGCTCCTTGCCAAACGCACAGCCAGGCAATCCTGGCCCTACCTGACATCTCCTCCCAGCAGCACAAGGTCCCACTCTCCTCTCTCCCCGCCTCTCCAGGAGGAGCTCCTTTCCTCTCCTTCTCTGACTGCCACGCAACTCTGGGCTTCCCTGGGTGCCTTCTCCAACCCTGCTCACTTCTCACTCCCAAGTCTTCCAGCAGGGACTCCGCCATCCCCAGCTCCCCAGGTTGCTCGGGGGCCAAGGGGACCAAGGCGATCTAAGGACAGCAGGACAACCATAGAGCGTGCAGTGAGCTCACCCGAACCTTGCCCCGACTCGGCCACTCAGCCCCTCTCAGCTCTGAAACCCGGAGGCCCAGAGACGAAGCGCCTCGCTCGGAGTTGACACAGCCAGCCAGAGGGACATCAGAGGTTCAAATTCAACACGCCGGAAACTGATCTCACCATTTCCCACCCCAAACGCACTGCTTTGAAACTGCACCTGTTACCTCAGGGAGTGTCATCACAAACCGCCTACCGGTCACCTAAGTCAGAACGTGGCCTCATCCCAAGCCCTCACATTGCCCTGCGCCTACATCAGAGACTTGGTGAACGAAATTCTAGAAGGTTTAGGCCAGCAGTGTGGCACCTAACATCCCTGGAATGAGGACACTGGCAGATCACAGATCTGAAGTCTCAACCACTCACACTTGCTTCCGCAGCACTGCCACTGAGGCTGGAACGCTGACCAGACCAGCCCAGCCCCGCACAAGGATGGAGCATCGAGCGCCGCTCTCAGCCCTTACTCAGCGAACTGCGGTCTGTGGGGTACCACTCGGAGTTGATCTAGGTTTTGCTATTTACTAAGCGGGTCATGTACCTCTCTCAGCCTCAGTTTCTTTCTCTGTAAAGCTGAAAAAGGATGACTTGGTTAAAGGTTTGAAACAGCTGCTCCTACTCACCTGCTGCCATTAATTTTTATTAAGGATGGTTTACGTGGCAGCACTGTATTGCTGAGTCTGGAGAAAAAACAGCATCTTATGCTTCTTTTGTTCTCCGGGCTAATGATGAAACATGGTTTTCTCCTTCAAACACCATTTAATTTTAAGAGACCGTCAAAGCACTGCCAAGAGCACCAAACAAACAGGCCTTTAGTGATTTTCTGGCAGTCTTTTTCTTGAAACTTGTAAACACTTGCCTCATCTCTTTTTCTTGTTGTATTTACTTGCAAAGACAAACTCATTAACTAATCTCTCTTTTGTATTTCAAATGAAATTATAATTTTCCTTTGTTTTAGGCTGAGGGTCCCATCGCAGACAATTATTAAAGTAAATATAGCACCAGTGATTATAAATCACTTCATATGTATTTTGTTCAGTTCTGTCTGTGGGCCTAGAAGCTGAGAACACATTTCCTAGACCAGCTGTGCAAACTTCTGGACTAGGAGAGGCAGAACTCAAATAAGTGTCATTTTCCTAAGCAGGAACTATATAAAAGGAAAGACTGAAATGCAATATAATTTTTAAATGAGAGAGAGAAAGAGAGGACCCTGTGAACACGGAAGAGCCAAGAGGAATTCAGTCACAAAGATAAAATGACCCTGAGTGCCCCAATGTGATTTTCCTAAGGAAATGAGTTTTGCATTCAGGAAAATCCAAATATACATACTTAAGCATCATACCTCAAAGCTCTAAAAAGTGACCAGCTTAAAAAAAAAGGGAGGGAGCAGCTTTATGAGGTGTTTTTTTTTTTTAACAGTATTAAAAACAAAGTTCTTTTTAAAGAAATGTTATGCAGCACAAATAGACCATCCACGATAGCAATGACAGCACCTCAAATGTCCAGTAAAATCTACAGATCAGAAGCTTCGGGCAGACGATGGGGCAGACAATGAAACGCACTGATATTTTCCCATGAACTTAAAATCTACACAATTCTTTGGAGGGAATACTAAAATAATGCTTTTTTGTTTCCTCTACGCTCCAAATGGGCCAAATAAGGTTAGGAATATTACAACTGTAACAGTATTTTAAAATCTGTTTCCTTAAGATATTAGACTCACCAATAAGCTTCCTCTGCATTCACAATAAAGTTCTGCATTTTCAAAATTTTAATATAACATTGACGACAGTCCCTGAACATTATTTCCTGCAAAACAAACATCTTAAACAAGAGCTATATTAGCCTTAATCCTGTCTATATTTCAAAACCCTCCACACCTTCCACTCTTTAAATGCACCTATGCTCCATCCTCTGCAAACTGTCAGGAATCCCAGTAGCTCTCAAGATAAAGAGCACTTTTTTTTCAGGGCAGAGCACGCTCTACACTCTCATATGCAAAGTTAAGTCCCTTACATTTGTTCATTCCACAAATATTTACTGAGCACCTCTTATGTCGATGGCACTGTTCTAGGCAATGGGGAAAAAGGGAAAATTTCCTGCCCTCATTAAACTTACATTTATTTAAGGATACATCAGAAAATAAAATAAAAAACAATCTCAGAACATGCAAGCATAGGGGCCACAGATAAAGCAGAGTAAGGGGAATGAGAGCAAGGGGTACTGTTCAGGGCAGCCTCCCTGGGGAGATGCTTTTTGAGCAGATTTGAAGGAAGAACCAGATACGAAAAGATGTGTGGGGAGAGTTCCAGGCAGCGGGAACAGCACGTGTAAAGGGCCTGAGGCAGGAGCAAACCTAGTCAACAGACCAGCTGGACTGTAATTTCTCTCTCCTACTTGGGGACAAAAGCTTTGTTTTATTAATACTCGTATCACCCAGTCTCTATCAAAAGATATGTTCAAAAGGAGTTGTTAAATTAATAAATTCGGACTGTTGGCTACTTGCCAAAAGACGGAACAAAATCACTGCTCATCCATCCCCTTTTCAGTATGAGTGTACAGCCTGATTTTTGACAGATCCCTCAATTGTCAAGGCCTCCCAGGCCAATGGGGCATGCCTGTTTCACTGACTTGAAACAAAAGCCCATAGTAATCCTATATTTTCGGGATGGAAAAAAAAAAAAAGTGGTCTGACAACGGGACCAAATATTTGAAAACCTAAACTGTCTCCAAACGCTACTTCTTGGCAGGCGCCAAGCCCCGGCAATGAGGACGGACCTCTCAGGGCAGGGCTGGCGGGAAGGACCCCGCGTGGACGACTTTCAACACGCACAGCAGCACCGCCTCCACGCACTCACCAAACACGCACCGGGCAGAGCGCTGGAGGAGACGCTCCTGCTCTGGGCAACGTGCACAAAACGAGCGCAGCAGGCAGCGCTGGGGGACCACGAGGGCTGCGGCACGTGGGCGGGACCCTGGAGCAGACCGGCCCCGCGAGGTGTGGAGCCGCCACCGGCTTCGGGATAAAGGCTGGGGTCTCTTCCGCGAGGGAGAAGAGTCGGGGACAAAGAACGAGAGGCGCGGGGACGCGATCCGCGGGGAGGGGGCGGGGCCGGGCCCGCCCGCGCAGGACCCGACGGGCTCCGGGCGCGCTCCCGCGGGCGCGAGCCACCGTGGGGGCCTCAGACCCCCGCCGGGACGCCTTCCCGCCCCGCCTGGCCCCTCCGGGCGGGGCCTTGAGGCCGCGGGGCCGGGCCGAGGGTGGCCTTGAGGCCGCGCACTTACCCGGGGCCTGGGAGCGCGGGCGCGGCGCGGGCCGGGCGGCGAGGAGGCAGGCGCGCGACTCCGGGCGCAGGAGGGCGGCGGCGGCGGCGAGGGCCGCTCGGAAGAGCCAGCCGCGAGGGCGGCCGGGCATAGACAGCGCCGCCGGCGCCCGAGGCCGGGAGCTCTCAGAGGCCCTGCGGGCGCCCGGGCTCGCACACGTGCGGCGCAGCGTCGCGCCGCCACCGCCGGCCCCACCCCCGGGGCGGAGCTCGCCCTGCGCCGCCGGCCCCGCCCCCGCCGCCGGCCCCGCCCCCGCCGCCCGCGCGGAAGGGGAGGCCCCGCCCACCCGCCTCAGTGCGGTGGGGGGCGGCCACGCGCTCGCCTTTACTGGCCTTGCCTGCTGTGGGGTGGAGAGCTGTCGGGGGTCCGTTCACTCAGGGAGTCCCCAGGCGGTCGCAGCTGGGCTTTGGCTAGAGCAAAAGTGACTTTATCATGCCCCAAAGAGTCCACATTTTGTTTATCCACATTTTGTTTATCCATTATCACTTGGGTTGCTTCCATCTTTTGGCTACTGTGAATAATGCTGCTATGAATATGGGTGTACCAATATCTCTTTGATACCTCGCTTTCAATTTTTTTGGGTATATACCCAGAAGTGGAATTGCTGTATCATATGGTAATTCCATTTTTAATCTTTTGAGCAACCCCCATACCATTTTCCACAGCAGCTATAGACTTATTTTAAAACCTGGGTGTACATGTGGGGATCTGGTTAACTGAGTATAGACTTGTAGTGTTCTATACTCTGAAATTATTCACTTCAGTTAAGTACCTTGGATAGTTTTCTGTCCCTAATGCATGTACAATCACACGTCCTTGGGCTCTGGTTAATTCATTGGTTAATGTCCCAATGACATCAACTGCAAATATTTTTACCGCAGCCACTCAGTAAAAATTCAATCCTAATCTTTTAACTTTTGTATACTTTAAAAAGTATCTTCTCTGAGATTGTGGCCCAACTCCTCATAAACGTGCATGGAGGAAGGAATGTTCACGTCTTTGGCCATTAGCTGGGTCCACGGTCAAAACTTACCCTTTTTGCATTTCAGCCCAAACCGCCTTAGACAAGGTCCGAGTGAAACATGCATTTTCAGTTTTCCAAAATGCCAGTCCTTTATTGGTTTGTATAGTTAAAATGTGTTCAGAGCCTCTCCCCCATTCCAACTCCCTCTAATAAACATTTAACAGTTTAACGTTCTACTTGACTTTAAAAAATTACAGCCAAACATGTATAATATTCGGATCTTGCTTTTCACCCCACACCAGCACTATGGATTGCTAAGAGCCTAGCACACACAATTTATCTCCTATTTTGTCCTTATTATTGCCTAGTGCTGTGTCCATCTTAGGTGTCTCTCTCCACTCCCCAGAGAGTAGCTGTTTTCTGTGCTCCCCCAGTCATGCAAACATTTCCATTGTTGAACCCACTGCACTCAATCTTAAATTATAGATTTTCATGTGTATTTCCTTTACCAGGAAGTGAATTCTTCAGAAGCAAACATTTGGGTTTAGAGAATCTTTTTACTCCTTTAATTTTATTTTTTATTTTTATCAGAGTTATACATGCCTGTGATTTAGGATCAAATAATTCTGTAGAAGGCTTGTTAAGTTTTACAATGAATCAGCAGAGACTGTGACTCCAGTCTTTCCCTTACCTTGTTCCCTCCCCTCAAAGGCAGTCATTTCATCTCTTTCAACTGGTTATTTTGGTATTTACCTTCATTTCTCCATATAAAATGTTTGTATTGCTATTTCTTGATTTTTCACTTTTAGGCATTACCTATTGACTTCACTTAATGGAAAATGAAGATTTAGCTCTTCTTCCTTCTCCCAACCCTTCCGCCACCCCCACCACACTTCCCATCCCTTTACCTGTCCAATCTAGTACTTAAAAAAAAAAGATTTGTGTTTACTTCATCATTACCAGGTAAACATTACTCAACATGTTGGGCAAAAGTAGTATACTATGATTCCTTCTCTTCTGCTCAGCTTTCTGTTTTTCCTGCAGTTAATGATTATCTTATTTTGGCTTATTCTTCACCACTAAGTCAAACCCAAACTTCTTAATGATTGTTTAAATCTCTCCCTCCAGAGATTTAGATAGATGAGGTGTTCTATCAGTTTCACCTTTCTGAAGGAGTCTCTTCTGGAGCCTTCTGACCTACACCAATTGATGTCGAGTGCACAGTTGTTGTCAGGGCATCATACTTCATTTTTCCCCTGTGTTAGATCTTCTGTTTCTTATATCCCATGTCTCCTTTTTTCTTTGTTTAGTCTCTCATTTTAGTGAAGCACAACCTCCAGTTGCTTCCTGAGAAAGGAGAAGTAAATAAAAGGGAAATTTTTTGAGATCTCGAATGTCTGAACATACCTTTATTCTTTGCCCCTAGTTGATTGGTAGTTTACTACTGATCAAGTATAGAACTCTAGTTTGAAATAAATTTGCTTTTGAAATTTGATAGAATCACTCCCATGTCTTCTAGCTTTCTTCGTGACTGCTGAAAAATGGAAAGATATGCTGATTCTTGATCCTTTGTTGGAGATCGCTTTTTCTCTCTGGAAGCTTAAGGTTGTCTTTTTGCCCCCAGTTTTCTGCAGTTTCAAAACGATGAGCTGTGGGGTGAGTCAACTTTTACCCATTGTGCTGGGCACTCAGTGGGCTCTTTCAATCTGGAAACTCATGACTTTTAGTTTGGGGAAATTTCCTTGAATTGTTTTGTTGATGATCACTCCTTCCCTAACCCCAGTTGCTTTTTTCCTTTGGAACTCTTATTTTTCAGATCTTTGGCCCCCCTGGAGTGGTCCTCTAATTTATTATTATTTTTTCCTGTTTTTCCTTTTTTTGTCCTTTTGCTTCTTTTCCCTAGGATATTTCCCAACACTTATCTTTCAACCTTTTCATTGAGTTTTTCATGTCAGCTATCAGATTTTTTGGTCTCTGAATACTCCTTTTTAAATATAATAGTATCCTGTTATTGTTTTATGGTTGCAATGGTATTTCATATCTGAGAATATTGATTTTACATATAATATATATGTATATATACTGTCAACCTACACAAACAGAAACCAGCTTAAGAGGCAAAGCATTTATTTGGGATCAAAGAATTGTAATTTAGGGAGCACAGATGCAGGTAGAAACCCAAATAGTGTCCCGATTATAGGAGAGGGGCTCAAGGTTTGTATGGAAAAAGGGAGTTGTATTTAAGAAGAGTTCATTGGTGCTAGATGAGATAAGACTAGGTTTGTACTTCATAGATTGGCCTGAGGTTCAGTCATCAGGCAAAAGGCTAGACTTGTACTTCACTGATTGGTTCCATCAGTTCTTACAGACAAGATATCCTTGTCCTTACTGACTTCTTTGGAACGTTGGTGGTTTGGTCCAGTTCGGAAGATAAAGGAAACAAGACATGCAAGGCAATTCCTCTGAAATGACTGCTCTGGCTCTATTTTAGTATGGTTCCACTCATGTCATTTTTCACAATAGACACATTTTAAGTTTTCTCCCCACTGAATGGTTTCTATTTCTTCTAAGGGTTGCTCACCTCCCCCCTCACCCCCGCCCCCCGCCGCCACTTGTTTTAGTCTCTATGCTACCTCCTTCCATGGTTGCTTTTAAAGTTGGTCAAATCCCTGAGTCCTCTACCTACCTCTTGCTGGCTGTCGGATAACTTTACCTGACAAAGAACAGGTGTTTTTGGGTCTCTGCACTGTGCAAAGTGCACATTAGATCCTGAGTCCTTTTCCTCCATTCAGCTCCAAGAACGTTTACAACCAGATCTGCACCCTCTAGGCAGGAAACTGAAGGGTCATCTCTTGTTGAATCTGATCATCCTTAAAAGAAAGATCCAAAGATAATGACACGGGACATTTCCCAACGAAACAGCCCCCCCCAAATTACATTAAAGCTAGTCAACAAGGCCCCTCACACTCTCGGAACATCTGGGATAACATCTAAAATACAAATTGAAATGATTCATGATTAAGCTCAGCGTGGAAGGAGAGATACCTTCAAGCTCCATCATTATGAGCCCCAAAGAGGGTGGAGGCTGTTTCATCGAGGTTGGGAAGGACCGTCCCCCACTTCCGGAGCGGCGACGCCCCCCGGCCGGCAGGGGGAGCCACTGCGCACGGCCGGCGACGGCGCGGGCAGGGCCTCTCTGGGAGGAGAGGAAGAAGCCAGAGAGACGGCGAGCGGAAGTGGCGGTGGCGCTCAGTCCTGCAGGCTCCGAGGCGGGGCTGGTGCTGGTCGCTGGCGGAGCTGGACCACGCAGGCCACGCTGGCTGCGCATGGAGCCGAGGACCCGCGCGGAGGCGGGATGCTCCAGGCCGGCGAGATCGGCGAGGCGCCGGCAACCCCGGTGAGGCGGCCCTGGTGGCCCGGGGAGGGGACCCTGGTGGTCCAGTGAGGTGGCACAGATCTCCGAGGGGAGATCGTCTCGGTGAGGTGACCCTGGCGCCTGGGGACATGGTTCCTGTGGCCCGGGGAGGTGGCCCTTGCAGTCCTGGTGGGGTGGCACAGACCTGCGAGGGGAGGTAGCCCGATGCGGTGGCTCTGGCGACCCTGGCGAGATGACCCAGATCTCTGTGGGAAGGTGGCCCTGGCGACTGAGCAGGGTCACTCCAGGGGTCCTGGGGAGGTGGCAGTGGAACTACCACTGCCTGCATCAGACGGCCCTGTCCTCTCGGGAATGCCCCGGGGAAGGGGTGTGGGAGCTCGCGGTCCTCCGGTGGACGCCCCCCGGGAGCCCTGTATGAGTGCCATCTGCCACTTCAGTCTTAATGGGTTTGTCACACCTCTTCTCCTTCCAGTGCTGCTCTGAAAGTGGCGAGGAAAGGAAGAACGTCGAGCAGAAAAGTAAGCAGACCCCAGACACCGTAGCACTTTCTACGGAGCCATCTCTCCCAAACTCAGCCTTCCAGGGTCTGCATCCGAGAAGAGTCCTAGCCCGTTGTCTTTTAGATGAAGTACCTTTTTTCTGTACAACATACTTGCATAGTATCAAATACTGATTATCATTAAACACCTATTTTTGTCTTTCTAAAAGGGTAAACTATGGGATGATTTGGAGAAGAGCTCTTCCTGACCCCTGCCCTGTGCAGGGACTGGTGTGGTTTCACTGGAGTTCTGCCTGTCATACCGGCTTCAAAACACTTGGGGAAGGAAGCATCACCTTATGAAGCCTCAGGAATTTGGAGGGGCTGATGATCTAGGAGAGATGACCACCACCTTAATGGGGTTCAAAGGAGTCAAGTGATAGTTGTTGTACTTTACCTTCAGTTAGTTTGCAGTTAGAAGTTGATCTGGGAAGAGCACGAGGGATAACTTGCTTCTTGGATCTTGGACTGGACAAGGAAGAGGGAGAAGGTCAACACCTGCTCTTCCTACCTAGAACAGGAGCGGGTGTCAGTGATGTGGACATTTGTCGTTTTGCTTTAATAAGCTAGGCATGGCAGGCTTTTGGAAATTAAGGAACCTTGAGGGGTTTTCGAAGTGAAATTTATTGCGGGAGGAAGGGGAAAAGCATGTGACAGCTCTTCCATCGGAGGATTTGGGGTTCTACTGATCATGACCAATAGTCGGGAATGAGTAGTGATAAGAGAAGAGTGCCTCCCTTACCACATTGGCTTTAGGAGTTAGGCTTGCCCCTGATGTTGCCTACTGACATGCTCTGTCTCAGAAAGAAAGCTCTAGGTAGTCCGCAGTGCTTGACAATCATCGCTGCCACAACTCAGCTCCTTTTCCTTAAAGAATTTGAGAGTACCCCATATCTTTCTGTTTAACCCTTCCCTTTTCCACCTTTGCCCTGTTCACATGCCCAGGAAGTTGATGCCTCCTGAGCTATCATTTTAGTAAAATGATAGATGCAGACTGTAGACTTTGTCCTTGTCCTTTCTTTAGTGGCATGGTCAACTTCTTTGCAAGTAGGAGTGCTTTTTACAAAAAATAGAGAAAAAGAGACACATGAAAATTTCCCAAATCAGCAGTGTGTCATTTTGAAGAATATCATTGCATTTAAATGGTTATATCAGAAGAGTGTAATTTAAAAAAGAAATGAAGATAGAATTGACTTCCTAAGCTAGAGCAACTTTAGCATTCACAGAACATTCCTTCTACATGTAGCCCTGTTTCTGTGTGTCTGCAGATATACCACACAACTTACCTGTTTTATTTGAGATAGAGGAAAAAGAAGACGTTGTGACTCCAGTACATAATAGTAGATGGATTTCTGTATAATGAAGTTGGATGCAGACCGGCTGGCTCTGCTCACATTTGAAGAAGAAGGAAATAAGAATATTGGGTTGAGAGTCAGGGAAACATGGATTTTAGTCCCATTAACAACCTTTGAATGTGGGCTGGGCAAATGTTAGAATTTGTGGTTGGGAAGTTGAAGCGTAGACTTAGACTAGTTCTGGTTCTACCTACCAGTGGGCTACTGGTTCTCATAGCGTATGAACACGCTTTTAATTCTTATACGGCCAATAGACCAAAGGAAAATTTGTTCCTTAGGGATGGGGGAGAGGAACATACCCAGTATTAAACATACTGCTAGATATTCTGTTAATGTTTACATAAATAAATGAAACAATAGCTGATAGTTACACTTTGCATTTAGGCATATCTTTATTTAGATAGTCCTATTTTCATTGTAGTGGAAGGGACAGTTGTTTTAAAATGAGGCCGATTCTAACCTCTTGCCTTTCTCTCATTGCTGTTTTCTTAAAACTTGACTTTGGTGAAGAGCCGAGTTTTGCGGCCAGCTCCGAGGGAGAACTGAGGGGAAGTCCAGCCAGGGTTGCTCTCCAGGAGGCTCTGGATTGTTCCCCAGCTTTCCCTCTCATGCAGTTACCATAATCCTTGTAACTACGTACATGCTAGTACAATCAAGCTTTTAATTTGTTTGTAAACTCACCGTCCATGGTTTGTTTAGAGGGAACCGAATCCTTTGGGCACCCCTGAGGTAGAGAAAAGCTCTGTGTGCTCAGGTTTATTCTAGTGTTTGGTTGCTTGCTCTTTCTCTGGGGTCTTATTTTATAGCATTTGTATTCATTTGGAGATCAATGGCTATTCCCCTTACATTTTTGCATTATCTGGGCTTTCTTCCCCCCAGGTACTGCTCAAATCTAGGGAGATTAAGCCCCTGTGTATGGAATAATTCAAGTTGTGGGCTCAGTAGAGTTTAGCATATTTTTGGTTGTTGTTTTGTTTTGGGTTTTTTGGGGGTAAGATTAGCCCTGAGCTAACATATGCTGCCAATCCTCCCCTTTTGGTTCTGGAAGACTGGCCCTGAACTAACATCCATGCCCATCTTTCTCTATATGTATGTGGGATGTCTGCCACAGCATGGCTTGACAAGCAGTGCGTAGGTCTGCACCCAGGACCCAAACCGGCACGTGTGAACTTAACCACTGACCATTGGGCCGGCCCCTACTTGAGCATGTTTAATGTCAGAGAACTTAGTGACTGCACAGTGAAATGGAGTTCTGTTACACCAAGTTTGACCCAAACTTCAGGTTTCCTAAACTTCTCCAGGAAGGAGGAAGCCGTGAGTAACCGAAAGGGGATCACTTCCATATGGAAGCAGATACTTGAGAGGGAAACAGTGTATCTTAGCGCCCTGGGGTGGAGTGGAAGGAGAAAGCTAATGGCAGCGACTGTGGGTCATGTCACTCCCGCCTTCTTTGCCAGGAGGCTGCAGTGGGCCTGCGGGTTTCTCTGCACTTCAAGGCACGTTCAGAAAGCCACCCGGGCACAGAGGTCAGCAAAGGGATAGCTAGAGATGCTCTGGAAAAGAGGAGCCGTGCTGTCAGTCCACAAATTTAGGACAGTGGGAAATAGTTTAATTGCTTTGAAGTGGATTGTGTGTTTACTAGAAATTTGTTTTTTAGTGTTTTGTTTAAACATAAATTGAAAATTTTTTATTTATATATTTGAAGCTTGTGTCACTCCACAGTGAATTAGAGGTAACTTAAAATGCTTAGTGATGTCTTAAAAATCTGGATGGTGGAAGAAGGTACGGATTCTTGCGGAGTGAAAAACTGGCTTTGAAATATAAGAAATGATGGATTTCCAAGCATGCAGTAAGGAGTAATCTCTTTGGGAAATTTCACTAACTGGGGCGAGAGCAAAGCTCCCCAGTGTTCGTATTTTCACTGGGCATTGTTAGCTCTGCTATAGGAAATGTCGCCTCTGCCACCACTCTTCTCAAGAAATGGCTTCAGGGTGCTAAGTCACCTGTTTTTGTCACATTTAATAAGTCCAGCCTTCGTTTCATCCAAGTCTAGTTTGTTTGCCATGGAAAGAGTCTCACTTTAGACTGTACAATTTAAAGGTTGCATCAGGCATTTTGAGGTTTTCCCAGTAATTTGTGTTTTCTCTCATATTTCCTTTTTTTTCTGTTTCTGACATGGACATCTTTGTACAAAGGTATTTGAAGCTTATAAAACTTTTTATTCTTACATAAGGAGGAGTTTTTATTCATTGGTCACCATTTTGGTTTTTTTTCATATACTTGAAATCTTTAATACTATTTTTTTCTTAGCATTTTAAAACCAGAGTCCTCCTTTGGTTTTATTCTAGTCCATACCATCTGGTTCCTTACGGACTTTGAAATTATATTACTAATTTAATAAGAACTGCATCAATAACTAATCAGATTTGACCTTTTTTTCCTCAGTAATAAAATAGATTCTTAAGATACAAGGTCTTCGGGAAAAGTTTAATATCTATTTGTAACTGCTTTGTCATGCCAACGTCTGTTGAAACCTGTAGTTACTAGGACCGACTAGGAATTTTTCCTTCACTCTGAATTTCCTCAGCTCAAGCATTTTGTAGTATTTGATTGATAGATTGCTTTAAGCTGTTCATTTAGGTATTTGTGTGTGTGTGTGTGTGTGTGTGTGTGTGCATATATACAAAAATATATATATACACAAATACAAAATACATATATGCAAAATATACATATATACATAAATATATATACATATATACAAAAATATATATACATATATACAAAATATATATACACACAATTATTTTTAAATACACAATTATATTTTAAATATATACACAAAAGTACCCAAATGAATATATTGGTGTACGTATAGTATGTGTGTGTATA